GCTTCTTGTCATAAACAGGGTATGCAATTTCACTCGAATTCCAAGTTCTTCCTGAGTTTCCTGTCATATTCAGGGTTTCTACTTTCGTATTGACCGAAACTGGTTAGTTACGGTCGTAAAAAAACGATACACGAGATGACATGATAATTGAAACAGGAACACAGTGCAATTAATTATATCTTTTGTCATAAACAGGGTCTATAATTTTGAGTTTTTTTGTCATAAACAGGGTACCCCTTTCAGAATCCCAGCGGAACACCCCTACCCAAATCCTGGTGGAGTACCCCCCTGGGGGTTAACTACATTAAACTCTTCTCCTGGGTACTTTATCTGGTCATCTTTGAGTCCCAAGAAGGGGGAAAAGAAAGTCTTCTTATTTTTAATTTCAGATTTTTAATATGCAAAATCTCAATAGACCAGTTTCGAGTTCCAAATTACCGCTGTATTTCTTGATTACAGACTCATTTGCACAGGGTTAGCCTCGAGTTTGTGCAGAATATTCACGTGTTCAAGTCAAGGTCCGTCGAGTTTCAAACTGTTTTTATTGTTGAAATTGTGCATTCTTTACTTTACTGTTGGTATTTGTGAATATTTAAACACTGATACGAGGCTAACCCTGTGTAAATGAGTCTGTAATCAAGGAACAAAGCGGTAATTTGGAATTCGAAACTGGTCTATTCAATATTGGATTTAATGTGCTCTGACTTCGTTCAGTCCAGAGTTTGATCTGTGAGTGCCCAGACTTTGAACACCGCAGACCACATCAGCAATGCTGTAATTTGTTATTGTGTTTAAATAAAAGCCATTATTATTATTATTAAGTTTAATACACTGTTGTAAGCAGGCATTATAATTGTAAATCTCATAGATTCTTTCAGGGTTCAATAAAATAGATATTTAGTCTATAAAGGTTGTATTTTCAATTTTTATGCTGCCAAACACAACTAACTTTCAGTGCATTGTCAAGCTGACATACCTGAAATGCTAAGTAGGTGATTTGATGTTTTCTGCGTTGCTGTGATGATGGCATATTGCCCTTTTTCTGTAAGAAGAAAGAAGAATTGAGAAATGATAATGAATAATAGACAACGTAAATTATTGTATTGGCAAAACTGTAGTTTGTCTAGTTACATGTTTGTGGGGGGAGGGGGAGAGCTGGTGGGGGTCGGGGAAGAAAAGACTGTAGATTACAAAAAATGTAAATGTGGCCCTAATAGTCCAAATAGAATCATTAATTGCCCTTTCAGGAATTATAAAGTTGTGTATTTAGAATAGGGACACTTCATCAGCCAGTTTATTTCTTATGCGCAAGGAAACTAAAGAAATTAAGGTATCACTTTTTACTATCAGCAACCCTGCATTCTGTAACTCTCAAAAGGCTAACAAGTTTTGTTGACCTGGACACATTGTTGTCAACTTTTGATCTTCACTTGTGTTAATAACAATCTACTGAGACTCGTGCAAATAATTCATATGATTATATAAATCATAACTCCTGAAAGTCTGGAGTGAAAATAGACCCTTTTGAAGTTCCAAATTACTGCTGTGTTTCTTGATTACAGACTCATTTACTCAGGCTAAGCCTCGATTTTGTGAAGAATATTCACGTTTTCCAGTCAAGGTCCGTCAAGTTTCAAAGTGTTCGTATTGTTGAACTTGTGCATTCTTTACTTTACCRTTGGTATTTGCGAGTAATAATATTAGACACTGATTTGAGGCTTCACCTGAGCAAATGAGTCTGTAATCAAGAAACACAGCGGTAATTTGGAACTCAAAAAGGGTCTATTAAAAACCCTTGATGTAACAAACCTTGGAAGGACGATGAGCAATCTGTTCAGAGGTTATTTTTGTCATTTGTAGCTGGGTGTCACCAGTCTGGTCAGCCGCATTGATATCTATGATGTTGATCTGTTCGTTACAATTTCTTTTACCTTGTAATCTTTTTAACTGGAATTTTTAAAACATCAAGGGTGGTTTTTGTTAAAATAGGATCACATGTGATATATACCTGAGTTATTATTACCATATATATCATTGTCTCATCACCATCACCATTATCACTATCTTCATAATCACTACCATCACCACAACCACATCATCATCATCATGACCACTACCACATCATCATGACCACTACCATATCATCATCATCATGACCACTACCACATCATCATCATGACCACTATATCATCATCATCATGACCACTACCACATCATCATCATCATGACCACTACCACATCATCATCATCATGACCACTACCA